ATTTTTGATATGTTTTGCCAAGTGCAGAACCCTTCTTTCTTGGAGAGAGAAAACCCAATGGATTTCGCCAGTTCACATTCTAAAATTCACTCCTTTAATCCTTGAATTTAAATTTATTATTTATGATTATCTAGTGTAGACTTTGCTTTAGGGCTATAGAGAGCATTTTTAAAGTTTTTTTTGGAGATGGAGTCTCGCTCTGTCACACAGTCTGGAGTGCAGTGGCATGATCTCAGCTCACTGCAACCTCCGCCTTCCAGGTTCAAGCAATTATCTTGCCTTAGCCTCCCAAGCAGCTGGGACTACAGGCGTGCACCACCATGCCTGGCTAATTTTTGTATTTTAGGAGAAACGGGATTTCACCATGTTGGCCAGAATTGTCTCAGCTCCTGACCTCAAGTGATCCGCCCGCCTTGGCCTCCCAAAAAGCTGGGATTACAGGCGTGAGCCAATGTGCCCGGCCTCAGTGGAAATATCTTTAAGAAGGGATCTACTTATAGATACGCTGGCGGTTAATGGAATAAATACAGGATAGCAAGATACACAGAGAGTAATAATAGCAAAAGCTACTACCTTCTCTAGGACCGGAGGAATAAAGGAAAGAAATGCTGTAACTGGAATGGTAGTTTTGGAGATGGAGCAAGACTTAAGCAGGGAGGAGCACAGAAGAAAGACTCTTTACTCCCATTCTCTAATACTTAGTGTTTGCTAATATCTCTCATGGGCCAGTCTCACCAGAAACCAGTTGGTTGTGCAGTCCATAGAAACAGCTTATCAAAAATGGGCTGAGAGAAGGACAAGTGGATACTAGCACAGCATCAAATCTGTGATTTTATAAATTTGTGTGTGTGTAGGAAAAAGCTAAATTTTAAGAAAAGTGAGTAGATTTAAAGAAAAACTTTAAATCCAAGTGAGTGGATTCAGAGGAAAACAGTACAGGGGAAAATCATGGCTAAAGTTTGGGAAATGCTGGGAAAATAGCTTTATGAGCTGTATCATATTTAGCACAGTCCATGGTCTGTAAGATTTGTTTACTTGATTCACTTTAGAATATTTTCATTATAATCTTAAATATTGTCTGACTAGTGCTCCGCATGTATGTGTTCTAGACAACCGAAGATTAAGCCTTTCAAGAATGCACAATTTTATTCATCTGTTTTAGAGGGGCTTCTCTAAAATGTATTTTAATTTCCTGAAATGTATCTGATTTCCAATATTAGAATAACTTCAGAGGGCTTGATTAAACAGGTGGGACCTACCTCTGGAGTTTATCTTTTAGTAGCGCTGGAGAAGGACCTGTAATGATGCTGATAATACTGCTAAAAAGGGATCACACTTTGAGGACCACTCAATTATATTAAGCTTAATTTAAATTTTTCTTTTCTTTTCTTTTTTTTTTTGAGACAGTCTCCCTGTGTCGCCAGGTGCCAGGCTGGAGTGCAGTGGTGCGATCTCGGATCACTGCAACTTCCACCTCCCAGGTTCAAGCAATTCTGCTGCCTCAGCCTCCTGAGTAACTGGGACTACAGGTGTGCACCACCACACCCAGCTAATTTTTGTATTTTTTTTTTTTTTTTTTTTTGCGCCGGAGTTTCACCCTTGTTACCCAGGCTGGAGTGCAATGGCGCAATCTCGGCTCACCGCAACCTCCGCCTCCTGGGTTCAGGCAATTCTCCTGCCTCAGCCTCCTGAGTAGCTGGGATTACAGGCATGCGCCACCATGCCCAGCTGATTTTTTGTATTTTTAGTAGAGACGGGGTTTCACCATGTGGACCAGGATGGTCTCGATCTCTTGACCTCGTGATCCACCCGCCTCGGCCTCCCAAAGTGCTGGGATTACAGGTGTGAGCCACTGCGCCTGGCCTAATTTTTGTATTTTTAGTAGAGATGGGGTTTCACCATATTGGCCATGATGGTCTCAATCTCTTGACCTGGTGATCTGCCCGCCTTGGCCTCCCAAAGTGCTGGGATTACAGGCCTGAGCCACCGCACCCGGCCTAATTTAGCTTTTGCTTAATGACCTAGGGTCATTAAACCTACAAAAGTATATTTGGCTATTGAAATGCAAGGATGTTTGTTCCTTCATACTGGTTCCAAGTCAGTTTTATTTTTTTCCTTCCTTCTTCCCTTTCTCTCTGCTTTCTTTTTGTCCTTTTCTTTCTTTGTTTTTAGAGACAGGGTGTCTGTCATCCAGGCTGAAGGGCAGTGGTACAATCATAGCTCACTGTAACCTTGAACACCTAGGCTCAAGTGATTCTCCTGCGTCAGCCTCCCAAGTAGCTAAGACAACAGGCCTATGCCGCACTCCCACCTGTTAAAATCTACATTCCTTTTTACTCTTCATGCTGTCATTCATTGTGCCGCTAGTAATGTCTGTCTCACTGCTCCTGTATTAAGCTATTCTGGGCTGAGACTAGATAAGTTGGCTAAATTTTAGTATAGAAAAGAGGTCTATAAGCAAAGTTTATGTATTTTAGTGAATGAGCTTTATTATATCCACTTTGGCCAGTTGGGTTTTCTAATTATTTTTGAAGTTACCTAATGCTGCCGTATAAGTGATCTGTGCGTGAGTGTGGCGTCAATTTAAAGTTGTTCTATTCTTGGCCTTAGATGGATAGGGATCACAGGAATGTCTGATACTTTTAGTAGCTAAACACCATACTGGAAGTCCACAAACAAACTTTAAAAATCTACATTAAATTATGTAATTGCTATAGCTGGATGTGGTAGCCGGCCTGTAGTCCTAGCTACTTGGAAGACTGACGCGAGAGGATTACTTGAGCCCAGGAGTTTGAGGCTGCAGTGGGCTATGATCATGTACCATTGCGTTCTATCTGGTATGACACAGGTCTCTCAAGTCTTGAAGTATGGAAATGGGATAAGTAACTAGTATTAGGTGTGTTTTTACAAATATTAAATATTTTATGTAGGTATATAGTCTTTCTTTCCATAGTAACTAATACTGTGTAATATTAGCAAAGAAAAAGGGAACAATGAATTTGTGTTGTTCAGTAGTGAGTGTTCTAGAACTTGGCTTCGTGTGTTTGATAGAGAGCTTACCTTGTAGTTCTGTTGAAAATTTGGACAGTACATGGAACAATAACTGCATGCGTCCCAGTTGCTATCTATACCTTTTCATATAGTGAGGAAATTACAATTCAAGTGCTTATATCAGAGTTGTCTTCCATTTTTTTCTGTTGGCAGGTTATTTTAAGGCTTCTGTTTTGAGTTTCCTTTCTAGGTAGATTTATATGTTCTGCCTTGACTTTATTGTTTTCCTTACCTACCGAGTCATTTTTTTTCCCTTCTTTGACTCTTTCTCTGAAACCCTACTAAATCTGCTTTGTGAAAGAAATTGTTGCCTAAAATCGATTACCTTACCCCAGTTTGTTTATTGCCAGCTTTTTTCCTTGTTAAAAAAGTCATCAGTATGTTTCTGTTACACCTTGTAAATTGATACATGCCTTCATAGTATCTTATTTGATTTTCATTATAATTACTATAAAAGGTGGCAGTATTATTCTTATTTTACGCAGATTAAATCAAAGTACAGGGAGGTCCTCAGGTTTCATCTAGGTCCTGGCAATCTTAAAGTCCATGCTTTTACTCTTAGATGTGCTGTGGTAATTGTGTTTGTACTTTGGGCAAGTTATTTAACTTCATTGTCTTTCTTTATCCATAAAGTGCAAATATTAGGTGAGGATTAAACTGAACAATGTCTATATTGCTTAGAATAGTGCCTAGCAATAGCCAAAATACAATAAATATAATACTGATAGCTATTATACCACATTACTTTCCCTTTCTCCCTTTAAAAGTTACCATAATAAAATTTCTCTCTCAGATTTTCAGCCAACACTTTTTGTGATGAAATTTCACATCTTTTCTTTTTCGAGACAGTCTCGCTCTGTCGCCAGGCTGGAGTACAATGGCACAATCTCAGCTCACTGCAACCTCCACCTCTCAGGTTCAAGCGATTCTCCTGCCTTAGCCTCCTGAGTAGCTGGGACTACAAGCGCGTGCCACCACACCCAGCTAATTTTCCATTTTTTTTTTGGTAGAAAAGGGGTTTCTCTATGTTGGCCAGGATGGTCTTGATCTCTTGACCTCAGCCTACCTCGGCTTCCCAGAGTGCTGGGATTACAGGCATGAGCCACCACGCCGGCCTTAGATTGTTTCTTGAGTTTATTTTTGTTGAATTTTGTTTTTGTTTTTTGGGACAGAATTTTGCTCTTGTTGCCTAGGCTGGAGTGCCATGGCGCTATCTGGGCTAACCACAACCTCCGCCTCCCGGGTTCAAGTGATTCTCCTGCCTCAGCCTCCTGCGTAGCTGGAATTACAGGCATGTGCCACCACTCCCAGCTAATTTTTCATATTTTTAGTATAGATGGGGTTTCTCTATGTTGGTCAGGCTGGTCTCGAACTCCCGACCTCAGGTGATCTGCCCACCTGGGCCTCCCGAAGTGCTAGGATTACAGGTGTGAGCCACCACGCCTAGGTGGATTAATTGTTTTATTTCCTTTTTTTTTTTTTAAAGCCCTTCACGTTTCTATTTGTCTGAACTTTTATTTTTCTTAAAGAATGTACAGTAAAATAAGTGCTTAAGAAAGCTGTTGAAAGTACTGTTTATGTTGTTTTAATATACTGGGAAAAAATGAATGCCTTTTCTCTGAGATTAAAATGTTTATTACATATTTTATTAGTAAATCTAAAATTGATATTGCTTATTTGATGGCCTTTCAGGTTTTTTGAAGGATTAGAGTAATACAGCCATTTGGAACAATCACTGGCTTATGTATGTATATCGAAGAAAGAAAGAATTTCACATCCATAGAATTTGTAAAATACCATTATGTCAGCAGGAACTTTAGAAACTGATTTTTAGCAAACTTGTTGGAAACCATTGTGTTTTGCTTGGCATGGCTTTCAGTAAGTAGGTACTTACTTTAAAAAGATAAATTTCTAAAACTTTCATAATGTGTTTTTTTTTCCCCCAACAGGGCATTCTTAGCAGGGTTACAGAATCTGTTAAGAATATTGTGCCAGGGTGGCTACAAAGATACTTCAACAAGAATGAAGATGTGTGCAGCTGTTCAACAGACACAAGCCAGATTCCACGCTGGCCAGAAAATAAAGAGGACCATCTGATATATGCCGATGAGGACAGCTCTAACATTACTGATGGGAGAATTACACCTGAGCCAGCAGTCAGTAATACAGAAGGTAAGTAAAATGTGGCTATTTTGTTAGAGGTTTTCATGCCCTAATTTTGAATACATTACCTTGTTATGGTAAACCTAATCAGGTGGTAAGTAAACCATATGGGAGGAGGGTGATAATCAGCTTCAAATTGAATGTCTTTTTTTATTTATCAGTGTGTAATTTATTAAGAAAGGTCGATAAACTGTATCAGTTAAGAGTGCAAGCTCTGACGTTGGATTTTGAGTTTTAATTTTCACATCACCAGTGAGTCATGTGGCTTTTGGCAAGATGATAAATTTTCTTCTCTGTATCTTCACAAGTTGTTTCAAAAGAGTAATTGTGAAGCCCTTAAAATAGATCCTAGTACTAAGGTAGCCTGTATAAATGTTAATTCCACCCCCCCCTTACAAAACAAACGGAGTCTTGCTTTATTGCTCAGGCTGGAGTGCAGTGGCGTTATCTTGGCTCACTGCAACATCTGCCTCCGGGGTTCAAGCGATTCCTCCACCTCAGCCTTCTGAGTACCTGGGATTATAGGCACATGAGCCATGCCCACTAATTTTTATATTTTTTTGTAGAGATGGGGTTTCATCATGTTGGCCAGGCTAGTCTTGAACTGCTGACCTCAGGTGATCTACCTGCCTCGGCCTTCCAAAGTGCTGGGATTACAGGCCCAAGCCGCTGCACCTGGCCTAATGTTAATTGTTAAATGAGACTGTGTTAGTGCCTCTCACAATTCATGAATTTGAGTATAACATAACTGTAATTGGCTCCTTCCCTTTTTGGAAGAAGCTCAACTGGGCTATTCATTAATCTTGCAGTTAAGTGACCCTAGACTTTAAAGGTTTGAAGTTTTTTTAATCCACTTTCTCTTTGGCTTTGCTTATTCTGGACATTTCATTTTAATAAATGGACACATAGGTGAGCTTTGTGACTGATTTTTTTTGCTTAGTACAGGGGTCCTCAACCCTTGGGTCACGGAACAGTATCTGTCCTTGACTTGTTAGGAACTGGGTCACACAGCAGAAGGTTAGAGGAGGACTGGTGAGCAGCTTCATCTGTGTTTACAGCTGCTCCCCATTTCTCGCTTTACTGCCTGAGCTCCGCCTCCTATCAGATCGCCAGTGGCATTAGATTCTCATAGGAGTGCAAACCCTGTTGTGAGCTGTGCATTCTAGGGATCTAAGTTTTGTGCTCCTTATTGCTCCTTGTGAGAATCTAATGCCTTATGATCTGTCACTGTCTCCCATGACCCTCAGATGGGACCGTCTAGTTGCAGGAAATGAAGCTCAGGGCTCCCCCTAATTTTACATTATGGCTGGTTGTATAATTATTTCATTATCTATTACAATGTAGTAATAATAGAAATAAAGTGCACAGTAAATGTAAGGCACTTGAATCATCCCGAAACCACCTCCCCTTCTCTGCACTGTCCTTGGAAAAACTGTCTTTCACAGAACTGGTCCCTGGTGTCATAAAGGTTGGGGACTGCTGACTTAGTACATTGTTTTCAAGGTTCATTCATATTTGTGTCAGAACTTCATTTTTTCCCTCTGGACAGTATTTCATTCTGTGGATAAGCCAAATTCGATTTATCCATCCATCAGTTGGACATTTGGGTTGTTTTCACTTTTAGACTGTTAGGAATAATGCTGCTATGAATATTGGTGTGCAAGCTGTTTTTGAAATAGGGTGGCGTGTTCACAGCTCACTGCATCCTCACCCTCCCCACACTCAGGTCATCCTTCAACCTCAGGCTCCTGAATAGCTGGGACTACAGTCATGCACCACCATATCCGACTAGTTTTTTTTGTATTTTTTGTAGAGATGGGGTTTTGCCATGTTTCCCATGCTGGTCTCAAACTCCTGGGCTCAAGCATTCTGCCCACTTTGGGTTCCCAAAGTGTTGGGATTACAGGTGTGAGCCTCTGTGCCTGGCCATGTGCATGCTTTTTTGTGGAGTAAAACTGGTGGGCCATGTGATAATTCTGTGTTTAATGTTTTATCTTTCTCATTAGTGGTACATGAAGGACCTGATTTCTCTGTATCCTCACCAACACTTATTTTCTGTTGATTTTGATTTTATTTATTTTTTGTTATAGAGTCTTGCTCTGTCACCCAGGCTGGAGTATAGTGGCATGATCTCTGCTCACTGCAACCTCTGCTTCCCATGTTCCAGCAATTCTCCTGCCTCAGCCTCCCAAATAGCTGGGATTACAGGCACCCAGCACCACACCCAGCTAATTTTTTTTGTATTTTTAGTAGAGACAAGGTTTCACCATGTGCTGCTCTCAAACTCCAGACCTCAGGTGATCAGCCTACCTCTGCCTCCCAGAGTGCTAGGATTACAGGCATGAGCCACCCGGCTGGCCTCCATTTATTTTGATAGTAGCTATCCTAGAGGGCCTAGTGGCCTCTCTTTGTTGTTTTGATTTGCATTTCCCTGACAACTAATGATGTTGAGCACCTTTTAATGTGCTTACTTTTCATTTGCATATCTTTTTGTGAGAGAGGAGTAGACAGGATCTTGCTCTGTTGCTGAGGCTGGAAGGAAGTGGTGCAGTCATAGCTCACTGCAGCCTCAAACTCCTGAGCTCAAGCCATCCTCCCACCTCAGCCTCCTGAGTAGCTGGACTCCAGGCATGAGCCCCACCATGCCTGGGTAATTTTAAAATTTTTTGTAGAGATGAAGTCCTGCTATGTTACCCAAGCTGGTCTTGAACTCCTGGCCTTAAGTGAGCCTAAATCTTTGCCTCCCAAAGGGCTAGGATTACAAATATGAGCCATTGTACCCAGCCTTTTCCCATTTCTGATTGAGATACTTGTCTTTTTATTGTTGAATTGTAACAGATCTTTATATATTCTGATTATAAGTCCCATATCAGTATATGATTTATTAATATTTTCTCTAAGTTGCCTTTTTGTTTTCTTGGTCCTATCTCTTTTTTTTTTTGAGACAGTTTTTGCTCTTGCTGCCCATGCTGGAGTGCAGTGGTGAGATCTTGGCTCACTGAAACCTGTGTCTCCTGGGTTTAAGCGATTCTCCTGCCTCAGCCTCCAAGTAGCTGGGATTACGGGCGTCTGCCACCACGCCCGGCTAATTTTTTGTATTTTTATTAGAGATGGGGTTTCACCATGTTGGCCAGGCTGGTCTCAAACTCCTGACCTCAGGTAATTCACTTGCCTTGGCCTCCCAAAGTGCTGGCATTACTGGCTTGAGCCAATGTGCCCAGCTGATCCTATCCTTTAAAACACAAGTTTTTAATTTTGATGAAGCCCAACTTATCTCTCAGTGTATGTTTCTTTCAGTACATTTATTTTTTCTTTCACTACATATTTTGAAATACATGCTTACAAAACTTTTTGTAGCCCTGTGTTAAAGTCTCAAAGTATTCATTCATCTCAAGTAATACTATACCACAAATGACTTAACAGACATTTAATATAAATTTGCAAAAGAATAATAATTTTTGCAATAATAGAAACAAAGCATGATGTTGTGAAATGAATAACTTTTTTTTTCCAGTGTGAGAGATGAAATTGTTTGCAACCTTTTAATGAGATTGGTTGAGTTCAGCTGGGGAGAATTGTAAATCAGTGTCTGCATCTGGATGCCCCATCACCTTGAAGGTCATCAGGAATGGTGACCTTTTAGCTGGTTTAGGAGGTAGATAAACCCAGAAATGATGGAGAATTGATGTTAATCTTATAATCCAGCCTGGCTCAGTTAAATTCAGCTAATATCAGCCGAACTGCAGGTTACTTACAGATATGTGAGTGTAAAATTGAATGTTTTTTATTTTATCCACTGAGATCTTAGAATTATATGATATACAGAACTGTCACAGTGAAAACCTTTCTAATACGTGCATTGGTACTAGAGCTCTGGTCACCCAAGAGCTCTAATGAGATGTGCATGGAGATTAATGTTGTTCTCATGCTTGCTAATACGATGTCCTTCTGCAGCCATGGATCAAGGAGGCATTTTTGACTTTTTACTCTTACTGTTTAAGAAATACCTTTCATATAGCTATCACTGTCAGTGTCATTCCTCAGATAGATGTGGGTAAAGTAAATTGAAAACCTTTTGGAAAAGATTGACCATTCTAGATGACACTAAGAACCTTCGTTGAGTTTCAAGTCAAGGCTAATTGTGGGGAGAAAAACCATTTGTGATTTATAGGAGCAGGTCCAAATATTAACATGAGTAGGAGTTTAGAGAAAATTGATTCCAGTCCCCATGGATAACTTTGAGGTGTTCAGGACTTCAGTGGAGGAAGGAACTATAAATGTGGTGGAAATAGAAAGAGAACTAGAATTAGAAGTGGAGTCTGAAGATGTGACTGAATTGCTGTGATATCTTATGGTCAAACTCGAATGGATGTGGAGTTGTATTTTATGGATGAATAAAGAAAGTGGTTCCTTGAGATGGAATCTACTCTTGGTAGGGATACTTTGCACATTTTTAAGATATAAAATAATTTAGAGTATTACATAAACTTAGTTGATAAATCAGCAGCAAAATTTGAGAGAATTGACTAGTTTTGAAAATTCTGCATTTAGAATAGTATCAAAAACATAGCATGCCACAGAGAAATCTTTTGTTAAAGGAATAATCAGTTGATGAGGCAAACTTCATTGTTGTCTTATTTTAAGAAATTGCCACAACCACCCCCGCCTTCAATACTCATCACCCTGATCAGTCAGTAGCCATCAACATTGAGGCAAAGACCTGTTACCAGCTCAGAGATTATGATTTTCTGTAGGCTCAGCATATTATCATTTTTTAGCAATTTTTCCTCCCCCGAGACAGAGTCTTGCTCTGTTGCCCAGGCTGGAGTGCAGTGGCGAGATCTTGGTTCACTGTAACCACCACCTCCCTGGTATAAGTGATTCTCCTACCTCTGCCTCTGGAGTAACTGGGATTACAGGTGCGCGCCACCACGCCCAGCTGACTTTTTAAATTTTTTAAATTTTTTTTATTTTTAGTAGAGACAGGGTTTCACCATGTTGGCCAGACT